CATTAAGAGCGCTGAACGCTGATAATCCGACCCGGGTGGTAACCAGCAAACGGGCTAGCTGCATTGGAATTTTCTAGATTTTTCTCTATGTGTATATTGTGAATAAGAGTTAGTTTCCCTTAGAAAGTTCCACGAAGGCGTCCCTTCCCTTAGGCACATGGACTTCATGTGCTTTCCCTAATCTAAATAACCCGGATTACATCTTGACGAACAGGCTGGCTAACTGGAAATTTTGGGGGTTTTCTTTTTGTATAAAATAAATACTCGCTACGCGCAGTTAAAAGTTCCTTGTAAATTTAATCAAGTCCATTACTGGATAAAATTATTTCTAGACAGTTGAACAGATAAAAATATCTGAAGAGCAAAGCTGATTTTCCCCAACTGTCATAATATGTTGTGAATAACGTCTGTATCTCTTAATTCAAGCTGTTTCTTTGAAAAGTATTCAGTAAATAAATAATAATAATAAAAACGAAGATAGGTAAACTAAGCACTTTGGAATCAGAGATAATTATCCATTTACACTTGTTAAGTTACACCAACCAAATATGAATGTGGTTAAGCTCTGATTTTTTTCAGTTATTTATCCGTTATCTTCATGTACCAATATATATATGTGCTAATAATTATTTCTGTCAGTATAAGTTATTACACATGTATCTTTAATCGTATAAGGTATATAACTTCAGCTGACAAAAGAGCTTTGTCATAATAGAGATGATTCAGAATCAACACGATAGGGTTCGGAATCGTATCTTAATGCCAAGAAGACTGCCCGCTAAGAAGCTACCTGCTGAGCGAATTTGGTTCGCGAGCTAATGCGTACGCTTTTAAATTTCACGAATGATTGCATCAAATTAATTCACTCCTTCTAACCGGAAATTCCCGACGTCGCTCTTGCTGTGAACGACAAGCTTCTAATATATAAGTTAAGGAATTATTAGATCTCACTTTAAAGGTATGCTATCAAATTGTGCTTTAATTTTTTTGCACGGTGTATTATAGAATACGGTGTATTATAGAATGACTGCATCAAATTAATACGAGCTAATACGTACACTTTTAAATTTCAAGAATGATTGCATCAAATTAATTCACTCCTTCTAACCGGAAATTCCCGACGTCGCTCTTGCTGTGAACGACAAGCTTCTAATATATAAGTTAAGGAATTATTAGATCTCGGTTTAGAGGTATGCTACCAAATTGTGCTTTAATTTTTTTTTCGCGGTGTATTATAGAATACTTCGCGAGCTAATGCGTACGCTTTTAAATTTCAAGAATGACTGCATCAAATTAATTCACTCCTTCTAACCAGAAATTCCCGACGTCGCTCTTGCTGTGAACCAAATTGTGCTTTAATTTTTTGCGCGGTGTATTATAGAATACTCAAGTAATCAATGTTTACAGCTTGCGATTATTGTTTTGGGAACATAAATCCACAAAGTGACGCATTCGTGTGAAATTCAAAAATGAAAATATGTGCGATTAAGAGCCTATTTGGAAGTAACATCATAGTATGCTAGAGAAGACAGTTTTTTTTTAATGCCATCTGAAAATCAGATTAGTTTACACCTTAAAAAGAAACTGACTTTTAAATATTAAAAAAGTACATTTCAATAAATAAAAAGCTAAATATTATTTTGCAAAAATTAAAAAAAAAAAAAATTATTCTATACTAGTTACTAATATACGGTTTAGAATCATCTTTTATTACCCGCAACAAAACTGCAAGCTTTCATAAAATCATCAGTTCGGCACACTATTAATTAAATGTGTTTTAATTCATATTAATTAGGTGCATTATTAAAAAAAGCAAAATAAGTATTTGCATTGCTAAGATGTGCGTTTATTGCTCTTTATTCACTCATTTTATTTAACAGTGCTTGGGCCACCCAACCGGTATAGTGGTTAGCGTCATTGACTGCAGTGCCGACGGGTTCGAATCCTGGAGAAGGCCTGGATGTTTGTAAATGTATAGTGTCCGTGCGCCATGGAGGTACTCTAAATATTCGGCCAATCGAAAGTCCTCTCGAGAGTTTGGGAGTAGGGAAACCCTCAGAACTGTCTCCCCGGGGTGCTGTCTATCAAAATCGGGGAGAGGGAGAACTGAGCTATTGCACTGTCACGTGCAAGGTGCTCAAGGCCGTTGCCAACGACAGGCGTATCTTGCGCTCCTTGCCACGAGGAATTTCGTGGGCTTGGGCTGCTCTAAGTCAGACAATTGAGCATCAGTCAACAACAACAACAATCAGTACTTAGCTGATTAAATTTGATAGACAAATTAAAAATCTCAGACAGAATGGCAACACTTTAAATCGGCAATACGCGATGGCTTGTAAAAAATCAGTATCTGCGTGAAACCATAAGACTTTAAAATTATATTATTAATTATCAGCACTTCATTCCATTCTTCTCACCTTGTAGTTTCTCCAAGGTTTGATCATGTTCGTGAAATATATTTTGCCTGAATGGGATTTTTATAAATAATGCATTTCTTTCGAAACGTAAAAAGAAGCGAAACTTTCTTTCGATGGCCAACCGCAGTTCTAGACAGTTCTAGTCATCTGTGGCGGGCTGGCCACCCTAAAGAATAATATGACAATCGATAATGTTTAATTATATTAACTTTATTTAACTACATTACTTTATTTAATTACATTTTTAGAAATACTGGAGGCTTTCCGAAGCATCGCTGTGACAGATTTGAATGTAGTATATCACATGGGGAGAGAAGTTTTACAAGAAGGGTACTGTATTACATTAACCTTTTCACTACAGGGAAATTTTGGCGCAAAAAGCGTGCTGTGTGTGGTAGACACTGCAGCAGCCGACGCTGTGGGTGGCACTGTATACTTTTTATAGCGGGCTTCTCAAACTGTGAGTCGCGACCTTCCTAAGTGGAGATCGCTGAAATAGATGTACTTTTTAAATGCTAATAAAGTCGCTAAAGTTTTTATTTATGCGTATGTTTATATACACACTTGGTTTTACTTTCGTTTTTACACTTTTTTTTCAAGCCCATCGTAAGTAGTAAATAAGCATTGTATACTGCAGTGTGTATACTTTAAAGTATGCCACTGTTCTATATTTTTTGTATATTTAGTTTGTGTTATTTTTTAAAATTTATCTTTAAATGGCATCTTATTTATTTTTGAATAAGCTTAACAGATTTTCACAAATTACAGCTTTATTCGGGTAAACAAATGTTTTAAAATCTGCTGCTGATTCGGGGTGAGTGAATAAAGTTAGAAAAGTCTTACTTAACCGGAATTAAAATCGTCCGGAATTATGACCGTGGCTATTCCGGACGATTTTGATTTTCTGGGGAGGTGGTCAGCCACAGTGGTCGGTATAATATTAGCGATGCTGGCTACCGGATCGTTGGATCCGGGTTCGAATCCTCGAGGAGACATGGATGTTTGTAAGTGTATAGTGTCCGTGCGTCATAGAGGCACTTAAAACAGTGGAGAGCAGAAAGTTCTCTCGAGTGTTTTAGTAGTAGAGAAAGAGGGGTGGGAGAGCCTTGGATCGGTTCCTCGGGGTGAACTGCATTAAAATTGGGGCGAAGCTGCACAGTTAATGTGATGGGACCATACTGTCAGATTATGTTAATGCAATGGAACCATAGTGTCAGATTATGTTAATACGATGGGGCCATACTGTCAGATTATGTTAATGCTATAGGACCATACTGTCAGATTATGCTAATGCGATGGGACCATAGTATCAGATTATGTTAATGCGATGGGACCATACTGTCAGATTATGCTAATGCGATGGGACCATACTATCAGATTATGTTAATGCGATGGGACCATACTGTCAGATTATGTTAAAGCAATGGGACGATACTGTCAATGGTGATATTCTGGTGTCTTGCCCACTTCTACCTGTAGGTCGAAATGGGCAGGTCATCTTGGAAAACATTACCAGTGCTGATTTTAATTTCGTTGTTAAATACCTCGGAGGAAACCGCTTCCATTTGTTTATTGTTTTAGCTTGCAGATTTCATGCTCTGGTAAACTTATTGGTGATGCGAGCGATCCAGTGAGATAAATACAAGGATATCCAATGAGATAAATGCATCTTGAACAACTGAGCGTTTTTTCCATTAGATAAGAGCTTAAGTCTCCACTTTGAGCTAATTTACGATAAAAAAAAGTCCATTTGGTTTCCTAATTGTTTCGACTGTTTCGTAAATTTTTTTTGTAGAAGTCGATTGGAAGATACATTCTACTGTATGAACAGTCCGCTGATCTCAAGCGTAATATTGATGAAGTATTTAAGAAAATAACATTTGGGACCTACTTTAGGTTGTGCTGGAACGTATTAACGGCTCAGTTTGTTCCATAAATAAAACGGACACTTCCAGCATCCGCCGTGAAAAGATTTTCTGTCGTATATCGAGATTTTTACCTTTTATTTTGCTTCCATTCCTCCAGTATAAATTACTAATTCACAGTTAGGCAATTTTTGATACATACAAAAGCTTCCATACTTTCAGTAGAATTTAACTCTAATAACAACAGTATGATTTTATATGTATATAAGCAGTACGATTTTAAACAGGCAATACAATTTCATACACAAACAGCGCGATTTACGGGTTCGGTAAACGTTTTTCATTTTCATTCTTAGTTGCTTTGAATAAGAAAGAACTTCTACTAGTAGTCGAATGAATAAAGCACGAAATATATCAAATCGACTTCCCTGTGAACTTATGTCTGGTTACGTTATTGTTTCCACAGATTATCTTATGCATTACGTTAGACTGAAGCAGGTCTCTTATAAAGTTTCTTCACTCAGATAACGTGTCCGAAACAACCGTTGCGAGTTTTGCATAATAATGACTTACTATCTGAAAGTTATTGTACACTCTTGATGCTAAACATTTTTGTATTGTTACCTAGTTGTGTTTCTCTTTCAAGATTAATGATTGAATTATACGTTCCCGGAAGCTGTGTTCTAATCAAACAGTGACCAGTTCTTTTGTTTTCTAGGAAGGAAGAACGGCACTTCACCTTGCAGCAGCGAACGGGCATGCCTCCGTTGTAAAAGTTTTGTTAGATGCTGGTGCCAAAATCAACGCCTTGGACGCTGTAAGTGTGTTTCTGGACAAATAAAATTATTATTTTTCTTCTAGTTATTTTAATTTTGTTTCTAAGCGCTTCTTTCCTTATCTAACTGTACTCCCAGAGGGCAAGGTGCTGTGCTAAAGAAAAACGATTTGTCTTACGATGAAAGTCATCAATAAATTCATGCCACATGGAATGAAAGTCCACATGTTTTGGTTAATGAATCAAAAATACCAAATTGCCTGTTCTGGAAATGTCCGCCCTTTGCATCAGACTACCGAGAGAGACGTGTCCTCCCATACTTATTGCTTAGGTTCCTTTTATGATACCAAATGATAGTGGCACAGTACCGTAATATAGCATAGGCACTCTGCTATGAATCTTGTAGGATTTTTAATTATGTCAACATGCGTTGGAAGTGGAAGGGTAGAGATCTGAATTATCTTAAATTTTCCTCAGTTAACTCAGCGTACTGCATTGCGTGTGAAGTCAGATATGGAATATTCATAAATGGAAAGAATTTTTCTTTCTTAGCCGATCGATTTTTCCTTTTATATGTACGAGTAATACACAGATGTACAAACAATTCTTTAAATGTAGGTCAGAATTCTGTTTTTATGTCTTGTTCCCTACCTAAAACTGTTTAATATTTTCCATTCTCAGAATTGGGATTATACCGTTCTAACATAGTTTTGAAATCGAATAATCTATTTATGGAAATTTGTAAGACGTATAACGTCAAAACTCGCCTAACCATTTTATGCTTCGCACAATTTTTTTATAATATTTTATTATTTTTATATACTCTCCGTTTTACTCATCTCATTTCTCATTTCAGAACTATATAAATGAGAAACTAACTAAAACAAGGACAAAAACATTGGTGGTTAGATTTGCTGTATAATAGTCAGGTTAACTATGACCCTTTTTATCTAGAGTTCTTTAAAGAGCTCTTTAAAAGTCTGCTTTCCGAATACTTATCTGTGGGTATATAGTCACTGCGATTTGATGAAAGAGCTGAAATAAATAATTAGGAAGAATTTATATTTTATAACTAAGAGTAATGAGAGATAGGTGTTTCATCTAGTTGTTTTGTTAAATGTACTATTTTAAACAACTCCGGAAAACTTGTGTTGTACTCTTCGGTTTGCGCATCGCGATCTTCTGTCTGGTATATTTTAGATTTATAGATCTCAAGCAGGCCGCCCATATTGTATAGTGGTTAATGACCTTAACTGTCGTAACGATGGACCCGCGTTCGAATCCCGGAGAAGGCATGGTTGTAACTGTCCGTCTCTTCATAGCAGGCAATGGTGACCACCTATTAGGCGTTTCCATAATGAAATGGCCACCACTTCTGGCCGCTTGTATTGGCACAAGGCTAATGGCTAGTAAATAAAGCTTCCGGCCATTAAAAAAAAAACCTCAGAGCTTAAGCATAAATTTTCGCTTATTTGATTTTTAAACTTTGTGAACTTATTTAGATTTAGAATATAATCAGAATTTAATTTCTTGAAATGAAAGTTTTCCAGAAAGACATATAGAAAGGCTGAGTATTAGTTAGCAGAAGTTTTTTACATTTTTTCTTTGTTAATATGAGTCCTGAGATTTATGCAGTTTTTTACGTCATGTGACAACGTCATACGGGGATGATACAACTACACTACTTGTTTCGTTTAACGAGAATTAAACATTGAATACTAGCGATATCGAATCAGTCATGGAATCCAGTCAATTAAAACTGCTGTATCTTTACACTATCAGCATCAAGTCGGTCATAAAACATAATCAGTTAAGGCTGTTACATCTTTACGAGCTCAAAATGGGAAATTTACAGCAACTGCTGTAAGAAATATCAATAAAGGATTCGATAGATGAGCTCCTAATGTGAGATTCACTCACCGTTGATTTGCAATATTTCGCTTTAGAGATTTGGGGCTACACAATGAAACCTGTTGCAACGTCCTTCTTTCGCTTATTTGAAAGACTGAAAGCATTTAATCGAATTATATCTACGATAACCTGTACGAGAGATCGGCTAAACACTGTATTTACCCTTTTTAACTGTACCGTGGCAATTTGCAATAACAAGAAAAGTAAGGAAGCTCGACAAATAGATGCCTCACGTTTTCTCATATGAAAACAAAAAAAAAGCGTTTTAGAGTGTGCTCTTCTTTCTTAAGAACTAAAGAAGAAATGTTTCTGCAACGAGTTGTGTCTATAGATGAGAAATAGATATTCAACCACAGTTGTATATGTTCGTCGCAGTGGTTGGGAGACAAAAATGCTCCAGGAAGGACTACAAAGGCACCTTTGCAGATAATAAAGAAGATATTGTTTACAGTACAGTGGTTTTCTGCTCGTTTAATTTACTGCTCATTCCTTCCATAAGGTGAAACGATAAATGCAGCTTGATATTTTATAGATATGCAGCAAATGCATGGCAATTGTGCTTAAACAACCAGCATTTGTGAAGCAACCAGAACATGAAGTCCTGTTACTTCGGGATAGTGCTTGTTTACAAATGGTAACATCAACCATATAGCAAATCAGCAGTTTGGGATGCAAAATTAGGTCTTATCTTCCATACACTCTTGACATTTCCGCTACAGACTATTTTTTTTTTCCATTAGAGCTATTTTTGTTTAAGAAACGCTTTGCCAACTATATATCAATTTATCGAGCAATGGAGGAGACACTGATTTTTTACAAAAGTGGTATAAAATATTTTACCACGCTTTGTCAACAAAACATTGATGCCGAAGATTATTTTTTTGAACAGATATTCTTTTACTTTTTTACTCCCTTCTGTTTCAGTTATCTTTAAAATCAGCCATTTCTTTTACAACAGCCTAATACGCGAGTGCTTATTATTATAATCCTCCCTTAAAAATACTTTTGCACCGTATTAATATATTCATACATAAGAAGTTTGTATCTCTTTTAAATGTGGATGAAACAGTATGTTTTCTTAAGATGCTTGTGCCTGGCAGAGCAATCGAGACAATAAGGAATCCATAAAATGCGTAACAATATTTAATACGATCTTAATACTTTTCGGTAACCGCAGTCCTACTCCAAAATGTGAATGACTTGAGTAAAGTCATTCACATTTTGGATTAAAACTGCAAACAAAGTACGTACATAAAGCGAAAATAGGATTTCCACTTATGTGTTTTGAAGAGACCACAAAATGAGGCGAAAACATTGGTTTTAAGAAATGTTGACAAAGTCTGTGTGCGGTAATGTCTGTCAAGATCTTCCCCACTCTAGTGGAACAATAAATTTGAGACCACCAACTTTTGTAAGGAACTTAAATGTGTTCCATTTCTTTGTGTCCATCTCGAGCTTTAATTAGCATGACTGATTTTCTTCTACTTTTTTTTTTTCCTTTTGCAATTATAACCACACTTTGAGAATCTTCTTTTCAAAAATACATTTTTACCTGCAGTACCTTGTAGAAGCTCAAGGAGTATGAAATTGTTAAAGTGAAAATATAATGTGGCACAGGGAATTTGTAAAGTAAAATGTAATCTATCAGTGTCGTCCATAATAGATCAAAAATTTGAATTTCACTTATATGTAGACAATGAGAACTTTTTTTTTTTTCTTTTATGTGATTGACAGATCAGCTCCTTAAATTGGTAATTGGACTTTCCTTCTCTAGGCCTTATTTTCAGTTATAGCATGTTGTCAGACAAGCAATCATTCACGTCCACTTCCTTTGTTTCCAGGCAGCAATTTGTTTTGTGATTTATGGCGCAATTTTGACCAAATATTAGTGGTTTGTGAATAGGCGTGTTGTTTTTTCATTAATTCTTATTGGCTCTCAAATAGAAGTTATATCCTGCAAAGGAAATATATTCCACTGAAGGCCTATTGAAAAACTATATCATGAAGTTGTAGGGATTTATATTTATTTTAACTAACAAGTTAAAGTTTAATTTTAAAACTTTCCTATGAGCCTTCATGTCCCTAAACGTCAGTGTCCGAGTAGTTAAACTTTGTAGCGGGCGTAAAGGAATGCAAATTTATATTTTGAAGGAAGTATTTAAAAGCCGAGTTTCCGTAGGAGAAAAGAGAGTTAAGCTATAACCGCCACCTCTGCCTTAGATGCGTTTGTTTATTGGTGATTCAAGTGGCTTAATTGCATTTACTTGCTGCCACTGGTTTTCGAAGGGGGGTTTAAGTTACGGGATCTTGCTGAGCCGTCTAGGTTAGTTCTATCACTTGTTAATACCTTCAACTTTTAGTGTCATTATCTGATTTTCAGTTACCGCCCAAGCAGAGGCGAAGTTTGTTAGCGTCGAGTTGACGCATTGTAAATTTTAAAGAACTAATAACCTCTCTTGCGTAGTTACTAATACTCCAGTCTTTCGTACAGAAGTGTACCTGTTGGACTCTACAAAGTGTTAATCTTTATCTAACAGTTTTTTTTTTTTTTTTTTAAATTTCATTTTAAAATTTTCGTTCTTTTAAATGTTAGAATACGAGTATAAGATAATCTTTAAACTCCCGCATTATACGGTGTATTTTCATTACTCTTATTTCTTAATAAAATATTGGAGGAATAGAATAAAAACAAACAAACAAACAGAATCTAAAAGTTTTCAGATTTTATATTACGCTTAAAGGAGCTTTTTTTTAACGTTTTGTGTGTTACCTTTATTTATTAAATATCATGTTCTTCGCACTAAAACCATATAATTCAATTCAACAGCAACATCACAAAATAATTTTAAGCTGGAGATAATTAATTTTTTTTCCCCCGGTACAGTGTAGCCATGGCTAGCTTTGGAATTGTTGAGTTTCTTAAACAAAAACTCATAAATGCTTTACAAAATATGAAATAGATAATAAAACAAATTCTAAATTTGGGCTTCCAGATGCCCATATTCGGGTCGAGACGTACGATATTCAAAATTTGATGACTCTAGGTGCCGTTGTTTTATCACAATGCGAGAAACATACATATATTTATGCAAATTCTTCATTATTTAATTTCTTTAAATGTAATGCAGGGC